AGAAAAAAATGACAAAGTTTGGCTTTAAAGCGAAAAATTGTTCAAAATACATACATATCCAAGGAAAAAACTGAATATTTCGAATATTGGAAAGGTAAGAACTTTAATGTTGAAAGAAAATCTCAGAAGTTAAAGGACAGTTGCATAATCATTAAAATGCTCAGTGTCAACTGTAAACAACATTATTAATGTTAATTTGAATTTAAAAAAATGCGGAAAAGCATAATGTACATCATCTTTCTCTAAGAGCCCACCAGCGGCCGAGCGGTAAAGTCGCTGAACACTGGTAGTTCGGTCCGAGGTTCGAATCCCGCGAACGGGCTGGCTGCATGGGTGTTTTCGTGGTTTTCCCCATGTGTAACGTGTATACGAGCCAGTTTCCCTTAGAAAGTCCTCCACGAAAGGCATCCCTCCTCTTAGGCAGATAGCCCTAGTGTGCTTTGCCATAATTAAATACACCACACCACCTTTCTCTAAGACATATTGCCGAAAGCAGGATGCAGTGCAGAATTCTATATGCGGACAAAAATGGAAAAATGTTGTCACAATAGATGAATGTTAGATATATTTAAATGACAGCAGTAAAAAGAGTGACAGCATTTATTATCATCAAAGAGAAGAAAAAAAATTTAGAACATAGTTCAAAGAATCTAAAGAAAGTTTTTCAAAGTGATTTATGGTTGTTGCTGGTTTTTGATATAACGACAAATAAAAATTAATGACAGTGCAAAAAACTATTAAGGTCAACTCCAGATATTATCAGGAACATATTTTATACCCAATTTTCAAATATGAAATACCTTCTCTTTCACTTTTCTTTAGTGCCATCTATCAGTAGAACTGTATCAAAACAAAATAAGCAACTGCGCTTTTAAATCCACTCTTAATTTTCTGGAAAAAATGGAACAAGAAACGTGTGTCAAGGCCATACCTTTCATTTATATCCCTACTAAATCTTCTGATGTATCATCCACGCATTTTGGCGCTTCTGGATTTTTAAAAAGCGGATTGTCCAAAAGTCAGCCTGTAATCCTCTTTGGACTTTGGACAGCTGTTCAAGAGGAATGGGATAAAACACCTCTTCCGCTACTAAAAAAGCTTCATTATCTTGAAAATTACTATGTAGAAAGATACCGAAGAATAAGTGTTATTAAATAGAGCATTTGAAACACAAAAATGTTAGGTAATACATTTCTGTAAATACAATAAAATACAAATTAGTCTGTGTATACAAATTAGAGAAGAGAAGTTCTCAGAAACTTAGAGAAACCTAAATATTTCTAGCCAATAAGTGTTTTGTAACTAATGAGCAAAGGTTAAAAGGGATATTAACATTTAAATCCATTTCTCAAAGTCGTAGTTGTTTCGGTGATGCAGTTTCTGGAAAATTTAGTTTCGATAATTAACTTGCTAATGAATTCTATTTTTTATAGTTTATCTAGAGTTTTCATAGTCTAAAAATGAATTCGGAAATAAAATATCTTAATTTTTTTAGAAATTTAAAATTAAAATTTTTTATTATTGAATCAATTATTTATTTCCAAATTTTCCTTAATTTTTTGTAGTATAATGAATAACTTGCTTCATCCCAAAAGAAAAAAAAAAAGAAAAAAAAAAAAAAAAAAAGGTCTAAAACATTTTTTGAGAAAATTCAAATTACAAGTGGAAATCAGAGCTCGAGGCAAATAAGGTTTTAATGGGAATGTCCAGAAAAAAATTATTGAGTTTATAAAAGTTTGCCTTGCTTATAAACGATAAATATAAATTCAAGAAGCTATATACAAGTTTATAAAATAAAACACATTCGGAAGAGAAGAAAAATATTTTAACAATAAAAGAAAAATTGACTGAAATGTATAGTCACAAGAAGATTTAATATTATTAAGTGTGTACGGATTCGTAATGGATTGAACGCATGTAGAACCGATGATAGACTGATAGAATTTATTTTCCCAAAAGAAACACATTACAGTTCTAGAACTTTCCATAAATGTAATCGCACAGCTCTCTTCAGTATGACAGAGTACAATAAGTAATTAATACTTCAAATTACTAAGAACGATATTCACAACGCAATACAAAGGTCATCTAAAGAACGAAGCTTGCACAGAGATATCCTAACATTCCAAACCCAACTCTGAACTAAAAACAACAGCTGAGACTGTCCGATTTTATATAGTTTTCTCACTACCAATGAGGAATTTCCAGTAGGTGTATATGGTTACAGTTACATATACGGCACATACGGTTACAATTACATATTGCATACAGTTAGGGTTACATAAGAATTTCAGCCAGTTATGTTTATACAGGAACCAGACCTAAATGTCGCCAAATGGTCGCCAAGAAAACGAGATAACCGTTTACATCAATGTTAAATAGTCGCATTTTCCTGGAAAAGTTTCCCTCTACCTGAGGCCAGTTATGTTACGTTATACAAAATGCGTTACATTATTAAGATATTCTGCACAAGCATTAAAAACATAAAAGATAGAATCAAATTTTTATGCTGCAAATAATAAAGATATAAATATATCTTTAAAAAATATTCTTTCAGAAAAATATCATTTAACTGAGATTTACAATGTAAACCTTATTAATATTTGCTCCAATTGAAAGGATTTACTGCTAGACGTTACTGTGAATGTGTAAGACAAAATTTAGATCTTTTTAAATTATGAAAATAAGATAATCAAACATTTCAAATTTTTAAATCAAAATACGCTTAAACGTGAAAATGTATAATAATGAATATAAAAGGCGCCTTTAAATATGTAACTTCACTGCCAGTGCTTAAGATAGGTGCAACTAACTCAAAATTGGAAAATTCAGAAAACTTTTATAATTGAGGGATAATGTGAAGGTCTTTAGTCAAGTAATCGATTTCTGGATAGGAGCAAAAGTTTACTTTGACTTTCTAGTTTGAGAGTCTAGATATTGATTTCGTAGGAATAAATGGAGTAACGATAAATTCTTAGGCATTTCAGAGAAAGCTAAGAAAACTTTCAGTCTTATATTCAAGCTTGATTTTTGAATTAGAGAAATTGAGCTACATAAGGAAATCAATCCCATGATTCATTTTTGGGTTAAACGCAAGTAGCATAGAAATAATGATCCTGATTAAACTCGTAATTATTTATAAATTATTATTATTATTTTAAAGAATTCTTCATAAAACTAAGAGTAATTAGTAATGAAAGAAAATGCAAATTAAAGAAGTAAAAAGGTGGTAAGCATTAAAATTATAGCGAAGAGACCATAAAATCATTTCGAAATTGAACATTTTATACTCTTTTCCTGATTATATTTTATTTATAAAGGCACATGCACAACCTAAAAATCAAATCAAAAAACTCCTGAATGCAAAAACTGACCGAGATAATGTATTTTAAAGTTTTAGATTTTTTGTATATTTTTAGTGCCAGAAAACAAAATTTATGACTCGCTTTGAGGAGTTGGTTAAAAATAGTTTAAGATTATTCGAGGTTAATTTTTTTTCCTATTTAATGCAGTTTAAAGACATTTCTTTGTTATTTATTAGTCTATAGCATTTTAAACCTTGTACGGTTATTATTATTTAAAATTAACCAGGTTGTTACGATTTGGATCTTTAACTTCTTTTCGTTTTCTTCACCAGAATGTAAATCAGTTAGCTAGTATTTAAACTGAGGTTTTTGAAATTTTAAAAGAGAGAGTGTTTCTAGCTACGCGTGCACGATACGTTTATTTCCTGACAGCATTAATAATTGTAAATTTTCGTTAGCTCAGAAGGCCTATTCGTCTCGAAACGACATTTTGCTTCGGTTCGCTATAAACGGCATATTACCTTTTTAATTACTGCCACCAAATATTATCGCCTTGTGTTACATTTAAAGAATTTAAATAATGAAGAATCTGCATTAATGTGTGTCTGTTTCTCTGTGAAAAAACGACAGTACCTAGAGGCATAAAATTTTGAACATTGTAATCTTCCACCAGAACATGGGCACCTGGAAACCAGAATTTTGAATTTCGAATTTGTTTGTTATCTGTTTCATATTCTGCAAAAATTTAACGAATTTTTGATTAAAAAACTCAACAATTTCAAAGTGAGCAACATTTTTATCTCCGGCGCGCGAGATTGTCTATTTTAAATTTTAAAGATTTGCTGTTTTTAAATATTATACTGCGATACTGATGTTTAATTGAATTTTTGTGGTTTAAATGGGAAGAACATGGCATTTAATAAATAAAGGTAACACATAAAACATCCCTTTGGGCGTAAATCTAAAAGCTTTCAGATTTTTTTCACTTAAATTTATTGATTTATTTATTTTTGGCTGTGTGATGTTACGAATCTCTCTCTCTGCCATAGTATTCGATGAAGTCAAGGCTACATGTGAAAAAGAATAGCTATTTTATATCATTATTGTAACATATAAATAGCTATTCTTTAGGGTAGAAATTATTAGCACGTTTCATTTAACGAGACCAAATACAAACATTTATGTAAAAGTAGTTCAGAGGATTTTCCTAAAAGAGAAAATTATTCTTAGAATTCTACTTACTTCGGTGATACTTTTAGCTGTATGACTGTGAAATATATGAATATATGAACTTCAATTACAGCCCTTTTAAATTTAACATAACAAAAAATTTAAAGCCATTCCATATGTTCTTTGAATATGCACAGCTATAAATTCAATGTAACCCAATTTTAGAATCTCATGCTACAAAAATATTGAAGTAATTACACTTTAGGATAAACGTTACTATAAAGTTGCTAATTTTTTTCAATATTAATTAAATGCTTACCGAATTATGCTTCTTTCGAATTATACTTTTTGACAAGTAAGTAATAATTAATGCTACCTCTAAAAGAGTTTCAAGAATATTATACTAATGTAATTTATTGACAGTACTAAACCTAAATTATGAAATAAATTTCGCATCAATTTTAGTTTGATTCTTACTTTATCACTTCCAAGATAAAAATAAAGAAATATTAAAGGGCTACTGACCGACGACTTCTAGTTGTCGCGTCGTCTGAACACATCGAAAGAAAGGTTTGTCTGTAGACACTTGGCACGTGTAATTTCCAAAACTCTCCAGGCTCAAATTTCGAAGATACACTGTACTTTTATCTGATTTAGATATCTGTAAAAAAGCAGTGAAATCATATTTTACTGTGATATTTATTTTCACAACAATTTAGAATAAAATATTCACAAAATAGTATTTTTGGAAAGCTACTAAAGCTAAGTAACTCTTTTGCCCCTATTTAAAGGTTCATTTAGATACCATCTGTCATTCATTACAAGTTTCGCACTGCTTAATCGTCACGAAAATTTACCGTTCCACCTATTCAGTATTAAGTATATTATTGTCCTCGTTATATTTTATTGTCCTCATTAACTGTTAGTTCATGTGACATGTTCTCACTAATCTTCAGATCCACTGTTAAATTGTAGATAAATATTTTATTAGAAACACGGCCTGTCAGGAAAATAATTTTGAACAAAAGCTTAAGTAATATTTGACAAGTTTATAGTTGAAAGACAGATAGCAACATTCATTGCTCGTTGCTTATTTCTAGTTGCTTTACATTTAAAGGTTTAATAAAGAAGAAAAAATCTTTTCAAGAGACACAATGCAAAAAACTGTCTAAATATTGCTGAATATTTTCTTGATCGGAATGAGATCAGGTAAAAGAATTCGTGAAGTGCAGTATAGATTTAAAAGACTTTAAATATTTAAAGAGATACCCTATCAAGCTCACTCGCATGCTCCGTTGTGTTAGATAAATGACATTTTCATGAAGTTCGGTATCATTTTTTACTACTAAACGCCACTTAAATTTAAAAATTAGTACTTTATGACATATAACTTAATGCGTTAGCACGACGATATATTTAACGATATGTTATTTATATATTTCTGTTACTTAAATGGTCGAAAAAGTCCTACGACTTTACCCTAAATTAAAAAAACTACGGTAAAATTTCACATCTATTTCATTAAAAAGATCTTTTTGAGCTTTATCTTATGGTGTAAACACAGTAAATTCTCAGATGTTTAGTTTCTTAGTTAAACGAAGATATGGTCGTGTATACCTTATAGGGTTTATATTTATTTTAACTAACATTTATTTTAAGTTTAAACTATCTTTCCTGTCAAGCCTTACTTTTCCCTGGAACTGCCAATGCCAGAGTATGTAAATTTTAGTAGAACGCGCAAGGATTCAAATTATCAGCGGAAGTATTCTGAGTTAAATAGAAAGGAAACGAGTTCGAGATGTGCTGTTCTTACTTCACGAGCGCGGAGGTAGTTAGCCAGAAATTGAAGAACCCACGCGTTTCGGCCTTTGTGCTTGCCTCGGCAGAATTGTTAATCGTTCAACGTGATATTCAAAGTTTGCTGAATTAGCAGCGGTTAAAACGCGGTGAGGTTAGTTACTTTTAGAGAGCCTCGTAGTTAGTCAGTCTTGTTATTATTTTCTTTTCAGGTTTCTTATTTTTATTTTACCGCCGGGTCGGCGTAGCGTTTAGTTTGTGAGCGTCAAGAGCACGCAATTGTAATTTCTAAAGTTGAATAAAAAGGGACTTAAACCCTTAGCAAGACTCTGTCTATTTCCAGTTTCAACAGTCACCTCTTGGCTGCGTGCAAGTTGGAAGCGCGCAACTCTACATTGGGCGCCCGAACACTTATCGAACTGAAATGGCCGAAAATCGGATGGAAGCCGCGGGACAACAACCAAGAAATGGCAAGCCAATTGGAAGGATTTGGATACCTGGTCCAGACTTTGAGAGCGTCAATCAAGCCAAACGTCAATTTCGACGGAAAAAATTCGGTGGCGATATTTCTAGAAGGCCTCAGAAAATCACTTTCAGCTCTACCCTGTGCCTGAAAGACAAAAAGTTGCCATCGCCACATCCGCACTAAGAGGACAGGCCGCGCTATGGTGGAAGAATATAGGCAAATTTTATATTAGGGGAATTTGGAAGCCAGACATATACATTTGAAAATTTCAAAAAATCGTTAGTAAAGGCCTTCCCCATAGTGAAAGATCGAGCAAGGCTGGAAGCCGAACTATATAGTTTCTATCAACGGGATATAGAAGAGTTGACGGACTTTATTTTGCGAAAAATTAAGCTGACGGATATGCTGTATGGGAAGAAACCCGACGCGGAGATTATTGAAATAATCTTACCAAGATTGTTACCTGCTGTTCAAGACTACTTCGAAATTAGAAACCCAAGCACATTGCAGGAGCTCTTCGAATTGGCGGTGAAGTTTCAAAATCGCAGAATAGCGGAAAAAGCTAGAGGGGCATCGTATTCTCAAAGTACCCGAAGGCAATCTTCAAATGAGCAAACCAGAAATGCAAACCGCTCTTATGGGGGAAAGAGCTATCAACCTAACTCATCGAACCTCGAAGGTCAAGGCCCAAAAAGAAAATTCGAAAAAACAAACGTCCGCGTACCCAGAAGGCAGAAACTTGAAAGGAAAGCTTTTAAACGAGTAGAGGGGCCTGTGAAAGCGAGGGTCCAGACCCCGGAAGTTTTAAAAAACCCTCAAAAAGACATTTAAATACGGTCATCGTAAAAAACTCACATCTACCAATTATACAAGTTCCTGGTTGGCGATGTACCAGTAGAAGCCCTCATCGATACAGGAGCAGAAGGTAATTTTATGAGTGAAACATTCTTCAAAAAGAATTTTTATAGGTTACGATTATTTAAAACCAAAAAATACAGAAATTATAGCGGCGCAAGGAAAAACCTGTCACTGCATCGGGAAATTATCATTAAACATACAGGTAAAAGAAAAAAGCCTCAAAGTATTAATTTTTGTAGTAAAAAATCTGCAAAACTCCTCTTATTTTAGGTATGGAGTTTTTAAGGGCCGCGAGGGCCAAATTGAATTTTCAAGACAGTTCCGTTGTGCTGGAGATGGACCAGAGGGTGGTGGAACCTGTGGAACAACCGCAAGTTGGACCTTAGCCATTTGAATGACCATGAAAGTCAAGCCATCCAGCAAGTGGTGAGTAATTTTTCTAACTTGTTTTCAGAAAAGGCCTGGTAGTTGTGAAATAGTTACGCATCAGATACAATTAACTGCCGAAAAAACCTTGTAGGACTAAACCATATCGTTATGACAAACAAAAAGACGTAATCATCGAAGAACATATTCAGGAGATGTTAAAGAATAAAATAATAACGCCCATAAATAGTGAGTACGCGAGTCCAGTCGTACTATGTAGGAAAAAGAACGAGTTTCCTCCTTCGGATAAAAGGGCTTGGAGGTTTGCTATCGATTACAGAAAACTAAATAGTATTACTAAATTCCCAGTTTACCCTTTGCCGGTTATAGAGGAAATTATTAGAAAGATCAAATCTACAAGATACATGTCTACTTTGGACTTAACGTCTGGCTACTATCAAATAGCTATGAGACCCGAAGAAGACATACATAAAACCGCGTTTATAACAAAATCGGGCACTTATGCATTTTTACGCATGCCCTTTGGGTTGTGTGGGGCCCCATCAACATTCCAGAGAGCTATGGACATATTGTTCTAAAGCCTGTCCTAGGAAAATCAACTTTAATCTATCTAGATGATATAATTATAACGAGTAGTACGTTGGAACAACACATTAAAGATCTAGAAGAAGTTTTAAATTATTAAAAGAGGCCGGTCTTACAATTAACGCCTCAAAATGCAAGTTCGCAACTAAAGAACTTAAATATCTCGGTTATAAAATTTCGCAAAAGGGGATAGAAACGCAAGATTCAAAAATAAAAGCAATCAAGAATTTTCCACCGCCCAACACCGCCAAGAAACTTTCTTCTTTCCTTGGGTTATGTTCTTACTATCGGTCTTTCATAAAAGATTTCGCTAATATTGCTGAACCACTCTTAGTAATTAAAAGAAAGAGAAGTAAATTTACGTGGACAGCGGAAGCAAATACCGCTTTCGAAAGATTAAAAGAAGCGCTCATCAATGCCCCTGTCTTGAAATTCCCGGAGGGGGACGAAAACCTGGAAATTGCAGCAGATGCGTCGGGCTATGCGGTGGGTGCGGTTCTTATGCAAAATAGCCATCCTCTGGCATTTTTTAGTAAAACGTTGAATCAGACACAAAGGAATTGAGAGAGGGGAGATCTGCAAAGCAAGTCCCGACCAGGTGAAAAAATACTATAATCCAAATGATTTTGAAATCCTTAAAAGTTTCTTGCAGGACTCAAGTCTAAAAGAAGTAGAAGGTCCAGAAATAACGTCAATTGTTCCACCACCCAAGAAGCAGAGAACTGAAGAGAGACCTAGCCCTTCTACAACCCAGACGACGGTACCAAAAAGAAAAAATGAAAACTTTTAAACTCCAGCATTTAAGAAAAACAAGAATGCAAATCCACCGCGTAAAGAAACATTTGTAAAGAGGAAAACACCACCTACAACGTATCGCAGTAGAAATTATACATCAAGGAGAACGCTCCCAGGGCCAGAGAGTCAGGTGCAAGCAAGGCCGCCGTTCCGGAAACTAAAACGACAGCAGGAGGAACGAAAAAACCAGGAACAACAGAAGAAATTCAAGAAGGACTCCAGACCGGAGGACGTCAAGACCAGCCGTCCAATGGAAAAACGAAAACGACAGCAACCCGACGATTACTCCGCCAAGAGGCCAGCATGCAGAGGACGCAAAAGAAAACTAATGTGGACGACACTCGGAGGTCAGTAAGGAGAAGATTGACGTCCATGAAACCTATAACGTGGGAACAATTTTGCCAAAAAATGACGGAGTTTCAATCATCGAAAACTCAAAGATAAGTTAAAATCTTCTATAAAATTTTTCTTTTGTTCCGAAATGTTATGCATAAGTACGAAGTTCTATGTTTTGACGAAAGTCAATATGTCTCGGTTGAGACTTAGTTTTGTTTTACTTTAGTTAGCTAAGGCAAAAGTATTATTTTCTTTAAGTATAAAATCTCAGAACAAGCATTTTCTGTTGGTCGAAAGACTAATTCTGTTATGTTAAAGCCAAAATTTGGCCGAAGATGAAAATAACTTCGTATTCTTGTATTAATAAGAATTTTAGTTTCAGTGCCGCCAGGCTTGGCGAAGAATGAGTAAAGTAAAAATTTATTTTCTCTTATTCA